TACGATCTCAAATTTTGCACACACACTCTCTTCATCTCAATAATCAATCCTCCAAAAAAAAAAAAAAAAGTTCAATTTAAACTCTAGATACGATCAAAATGAGTCCTCTCCAACAACGAATCTAGACCATTCATTTTGTGAATTTCAAGATCTTAACCTTTATAAATTCAAAATAATTTTTTTCTTTTTTAACATTGTTCATCTAATGATAATAAAGCTATCCACAAACATTAGAAATGAAAAAAATCCTTCTATAGCCTAGATCTAAGCATGTCACCAAAATGAACGACCTATATTAATTGAACTGAAACAATACTTTTTAAATTGTGTTTTCAATTTTATTTTTTTTTGTGGTTGTTCATTAAAATGAAAAAAATGTGTATTTCAAAATTTGGATAAAACAAATGGCCAAAAGGTGGTTCTTTAAAATTATTGCATAATACTACTATTGAAATCATTTCCTTGGATAAATGCTCTAAAATAATAAAATGCAGCTAACGTGGAAAGGATATACAAAGCCATGGTGTTTTTTATTTAGGAAGATGTCGATGATAAGATTAAAAACATTTGGCCACTTAAGGGTTGACTCTGACTTGGTTAGCATATTCTATTCTTTTCTTTGTTTTTTTTATGGATTTCATAAAAAACACGGAAATCTCTCATTACTGCACTTTCTGTGGAACTTAAGTACTACATTTTCTGTGCAATTTACTCTTTATTTTTTTTATTTTTCAAAAAACACTTTTTATACAAAATACCTCTAATAAAAAATAATAATAATAAACTGCCAGACGCCTGGAATCCTAACATTTATCTGGAATCCGGTAACATTTACCAGTAACTTCCCTTTTTGTCATGGGGTATTTACCTAGAAAGTTTGTCTCGAGAAAAAAACGTAGGTTGGGGTAAGTTGCGTAGCTACATGCGGTCATTGTGGTTTTTTTTAAATTTTCCCTAAAACGTTATCCAAGCGAATCTTACTCCTCCACAAAATGACAAAAACAACGAGAAAATTACAAGAGAGGGCAAAAAAATCAAAGACAAATGTACAAATGGGAGGCCATGGGTTAACATGAGGCACTATTTCTTATACATTTCTTGCTTTTAACTTTCAAAGTTTTTTTTTTTTGTCTTTTGAGAAGTTCTTTGTTCTGGTAATCCAAGTTGGGTTTTTTTTGCATGTATAAATTGATTTTGTTTTTCTTGTTAATTAGGACTTTTTAAAGACAGATGATGCAGTGTTGTTTGTGTTTGGTTCCTATTGTACTGGTTCTTGGTTGAATTATTTTCTCACAACTTTCTGGCTCGATCTTATTTTTTCCAAATAGTTTATTTTCCTAGAATAAGCTTGTTTTAGCTTTATAATTTCAGTTTGGGGATCTTCAATTTCCAAGGATTTACACTGAAAATCTATTGGTGCAGTGCTTTTTTGGTTTTGTTCTTCTTCTTTTTTTGCCATTTGTCTCTGAAGTATATCGATAGTTCATGAGCTTATAGTCCTTTGTGAATTTTCTGTACAAGTTCTGCAAAATTTGATCCATTAAGGAACTGACCCACTAAACTCAAAGAGCTGAAATTTTCAGTTGTACTTTGTTCCTTGCTGGTTCCCCACAAGTATTGATAAAAAAAAAATTCTGGTTTTTGCTTGTTAGATCTGCGAGTTTCTAAATTGATCTTATTTGGTAATCTCATATCAATGAGATTTCTATGGGTAATTTCGTATTAAGTAAGATCTACTTGTATCTTTGATCATTTAAAACCCATTATTCTAAGTGAACTTTTCAAGAGGGAAAACAGGAAGGAAAGAAAAATAATCCATCTTTATCTGAATATGTAAAAGGTAGTAGACCCAATTCCTCCTCCTTTTTCTTTTTTTTTGTTGAGAGTAACACCCAAAAGTCCCTGAAAAAAGAAGACATGGACCTTGTCTGGATTCTAGCTTTCTTCTCATTCTTGGCTGCTTTCTATGTACTAAAAAGCAAGATATCTAATGTTAATCTCCCTCCTGGACCTCCCTCCCTGCCTTTTATTGGGCATTTTCACATCCTAAAGTTCCCACTTCATAGAGCATTGTCTCATCTCTCTAAGAAATATGGCCCTATTATTAGCCTTAGGTTTGGAATGAAACCTGTTGTGGTTGTCTCCTCACCCAGTCTTGCAAAAGAATGCTTCACCACAAATGACATCGCCTTCGCATCTAGGCCTAGAACAGCTGTTGGGAAATACCTTGGCTATGACTACTTATCAGTTGTTTGGGCCCCATATGGTGATCACTGGCGAACATTGCGAAAAATTCAAACGCTTGGGCTTCTATCCTCGACGAAAATTGAGATGTTTGCGAATGTTCGTCGAGAACAAGTTGCTGCGCTTTTCCAAAGTCTGCTTGAGTCTTCGGATGAAGGAGAGGTGGTGAACATGAAGGATAAGATCACTGAGACTATCTTTAGTGTAATTATTAAGATCGTGGCCAACAGAAGTTATTATGGGTGTAGGGTTGAGGATCAAGAGGCGGCAAAGGAATTCAGAGAAGTGATCGATGAGACATCTGTGGTGATGCGGAAGTTGAATTTGGGTGATTATATTCCATTCCTTAGGTGGATTGACCTTCAGGGGATTACCAGGTTAATGAAAGTGTTGCAGAGGAAGAGAGATAGGATTCTGCAGGGGATTGTGGAAGAGCATAAGAAATCGAGGAGCAGTGGAGGCGGCCAGTTGAAGCCAGATTTTGTTCACATGTTGCTTGATATGAAAGAGAAGGATCCCGAGTATTTCACTGATGATTTGATCAAGAGTACAATTGTGGTATGTTTTTTCTCGTCCAAACTTATGCTTGATTGATATGTTTTTTTATTTAATCTTCCAATTCTGGTTTTTGAACATGAACTTTAAAAAAGGTTGCTCTGCTTGTCATATGGATGTAACAAGCCTCTTGTCTTTGAGAATGACACCTTTGTTTTTTGAATAAAAATGTGCCACCGTTAATTGCAACCGCCAATCGGTGATTTAAGAATCAGCATCGGGTCCTGAATTGGGGGGGGGGGGTGCGATTCGGATGCCCTGTTGGACTCAGCAGTCATTGAGCCGGATGGGCTACAGTTATCAACTAAAATGAAAAATAGAAAAGGTAGAATTGTAGTGCATTGGAGGTTATTCAAACCAGATTTCCACACCTCTTGATCCCGATTTGACTTGGGCAATACCAAGTGGGATCAGCAATCTATAAATCACTGATTGCAGCCCCTATGACAAGATTGCATTTTCACACCTCATCCACCTCAATGATATGGTCCTCTACTCCATCAAAGCTTATATCATGCATCTTTGCCCCCTCTCCTCAGAGCCATATATCAGTCAAGGAAGAATCCCACAATCACATTTGGTGATGTCCTTGATTCTTCATTCTTGCCATTTAAACTGAGAGTCAGAAGTGGTAACTAATTTTGAAATAATGTGGCTCTGGATTGTGAAAGTATAGCATGGGTATGTAGTAAGATTTTGATGAGATCTTCTAAATACTAACCCTTATGGAGCGTTATTCCTTTGATACAATAGCTTGCGCTGGCTCCTGCTACCACTGTCGTTCAACTGTGTAACTAAAGGTAGCACCATGTGGCATGTTCGCATCTGTCACTCCATCCATTTCATACCTATTCCCATGCAATTTATTTAGGACAAACTTCAAGATTGAGCTCATGTAAAAGAAATATCTTTCCACCAAGTGGAATCCTAAGGAATAGATTCCTACTCCAATGTTGTGGAATTTGCTCTTGAACCCATTCATGTAAAATTCTATCATGTTTCTAAGCCATATATTATTCTTTTGGATCCTGCCAGTGCTACATTGAAGGCTGTATACTGGTAGTTAGGAATGTTGCTTGTGGCATATGTATCAGTCGTTTGCTCTAGCATAAATTCAATTTTTTTATGCCGCCTATAGCTCCAAAAGTCTTTCTCTACATGTTCCAATTAAAGTGATAATCTTCTATATATGAATTAAAGTCATGGTTGATTTAAAGTGAAGTTATCCTAATATGAGCTTCTCATGCTTTATGGGCTAAAATGTTTGGATTGAACATACCTTTCTTCCCTTACTTTTGAGGGGATGTCAGCATAAGAGATATCTGGACATGTGATTACTCCTTTTCAGCTTTCCATTGAAATCTTAACCAGTGCCAGAAAACTCGGCAAGTCTGCTAGGACTCGACCGAGTTACTCAAACTCGGCAGGCTGCCTAATCTGGAACCAAAACCATGGGAACTGGCCAAGTCTCACTTTTTCAAATTTAATTTTTTATGGAATTGGTGGATTCTCTGTCTGACTCGGCTGAGTTGAGTTGTCTGACTCAGGCTTGGTTTCCTAGTGAGCCCTGACTGAAGTCCTCGCTTTCAAAACACTGCTCTTGATTAAGCTTATTTGATTAGACACTGGTTAGAACTTAGATAAATGAATTCCTTTTTCGTTTTTAAACTTTGATGTATTAGATAGAGGTTGCTTGCATTCTGAATTCGAGTGTTTTGCTATTACTATCATTCTTTCAAGGTAGTTACAGACTGTCTTTTGCCACATATTATGTATACCTTTTTTTTGAGATGTATACCTGATGTGCGCCTAATTTGATGAAGAGGGTTTCCCAACCCACTTTGTTGTCCATCATTTCAATGAATGGTGATGACTTGATCGGCTACAGTTCTTGGATGATCTCTTGTAATTTACTTGGTTTCCTTTTGCATCTTACTTTTGATTTTTTTCATTAAAAGAAGACCCCGATATTTTCTTAAGTTAGTATCTTGCAGTATATGAATCAAAATCAAGATCTTGTATGTCGCTACGAAGACTTGCAACACTTCAAGTTCCCGGGGAAATTTAGAAAAAAAGGAACAAGCAAAAGATATGAAACCTGAAAAAAACAAAGAAACCATTATGAACAATTGACTGTTGAAGTTTTTGTAAAACTTATTTGTTCATAACATATATATATATATATATATATATATGTTTGAGTTCTAGTTTTTCTTATGATTTTAAATATACAATTATGTTTGAAAAAAGAAGAAGAAAGACAACAAGGGGGGGGGGGGGGAATCTTCGACCTAGAATACTATCTTTTATTGGAAAGAAAAATTAATTCTTTAGATAGTGAAAAAAGATATGGGGACTTATGGCCTCACTGAGGGTATGGTCTTTGATAGACCGTAATGGCGGACCAGGATTCTCCAAATAATTGGAAAAAGGCTATGATGATGATGATTTCCAAACAAATGGAAATATGACTTGTATGATCATATTTGCAATATGGTCTTTTAGGGGAAATCACTATCCAATCAGTGGGCTCGACCATGTTGGAGAGAAAGAACATGACACAATTGCATGATCATGTTTGATCAAACCCACTTTCCCTCCTTTGCCATCCATCCTAATGGAATGGCGAGGACCTCTAGCACCATTCATTATCATGGTCATAGTGTACTTTTCCTATCACTGTATGCGTAACCTCATTTAATCCACCATTTTCAACCCACATTCCTCCAGGTTATGATTGCAGCGGGAACAGAGTCCACGGCTGTCACCATAGAATGTGCACTGGCTCTCCTCCTCAACCATCCTGAAGCCCTTCAAAAAGCTCAAACTGAGCTTGACCAACAAGTTGGAAGGGAGCGATTAGTCGAAGAATCTGACTTGCCCAAGCTTGAGTACCTTCAAGCCATTATCTATGAGACACTACGCTTACATCCTCCCGGCCCCATTCTTGTACCACACGAGTCCGACGCAAAGTGCAACCTAGGTGGCTATACTGTTCCCAAAGGCACCATGCTTTTGGTGAATGCATGGCACATACATAGGGACCCTGACTTGTGGCCCGAGCCTTTGAGTTTCAAACCTGAGAGGTTTATAGAGAGTGGCATTGATGTGAAGGGTCAAGATTTTCGAGTGATCCCATTCGGTTCGGGGAGGAGGAGCTGCCCTGGCATAGGTTTGGCCTTGAGGTCGGTGGAGTATGTGCTCGCGAGTTTGTTGCATGCTTTTGAGTGGAGGAAAGAGGGTACTGAGCTGCTCGATATGTTAGAGGGTGTAGGCCTCAAGGCCATGCCTTTGAAGGCATTTGCAACTCCTCGTCTCTCGCGTCAGTTGTACCCTATTGCATGATATACATGGGGTTGTATTGGATTCATGTATTTAGACACATGAGAGAGAGAAAGAGAGAGTATTGAGAGAGAGTGTCTTTGAGATGTGTATGTCATATCTATGATGTAGCTTAAATAGATGCACCAGTTATCTATTGGAAATGTATGGATATGTACTGCCTTGTATCATAAGGTATTGGAAAGGTATGCAGTAAATAGCTTTCGTATTAAGAGTAGCTTTCGTATTAAGAGGATAAGGCTTAGATGATGAGGATATTTTTACACAATACATATGTAAGCAAACAAAATTTAAGATGCATGAGCATAAATAGATGTACGCTGCATTCCAAGGACACGTCTGTGTGATTTTTGGCACGGTCCTGCATTTCACACTTTAGACACTTGGATACACTTTGTATAAGCTTTTATATTGCAATCTCGCTATAAAAAATACTTTAATAAATACTTTAATGCAACCTAAAATCCCATCTCCCCTCAATCAAAATGATGTCGGGATGTTGAATCTGAAAAGTCAATTTTGGACATCGCATTTTTGCTGCTGACACAGAGAAACATGAGAGAACATTTTTGCTGCTGATACAAAAACATGAGAGAGAGAGAGAGAGAGAGAGAGAGAGAGAGAGTGTAGAAGTGGTCTACTAAACAACAACGAAACGAAAGGAACAGAAGAGAGTAGTAAGAAGTCGTACTTACTTACGAACGAACCAAA